GGGGGGGGGGAACAAAACAAAAACGATTCGCAATGCAAATAATGTGAGCGTGCAGTTCACCCATTACGCACACACGAAAGCGTTTGGTTCTGTATAAATAGTATAGCCAGTCGAATATGACCTTTATGACGTAAATGAAATTCTATGTTCAGAATGTTTTTCTGCTATACAAACACGAGCAGTTAATTACTGTTATGAGTTCTTGCAACGAGTTATTTGTTAAGGAGCGGAACAGAGTCTTTCCGAAGAATATAATAGTCGCTTACTCCGTCAAGATGATTTTCGCCATTTACGGAAGCCGAGGGTTCATTGCAATGTTCGCAAGATCCGACGAATGGGATGAGATCCATTTTAATATCGTCCTCTTGTTCAATTTTTATCAGTCTAATCATAATAAAATATTATTATTAAATATTAAAATATTATTACAATTAACATTTAAATATTTAAAATATATTAAAATGATGCTCTCTATCGAAATGTTCGATTTACATTAGAGCATCATCTTTTACACTACATGTTTCAGTTCTAAATGAACCATCTTCAGGTGTATAATCCATATAAACTCAAATGTAATATCCTAAGTGCAATCCTTCTTCAGATGTCCATCAAATATCAGAAAGTTTTCCTCTTCCAGACTTATTGTATTTTAATATCGCATTCAAGGTCGTTTCGTCCTCTCTTAAACACACGTCTCCAAAAATATCTCTTACCTTCAGATATTACGACCAAGATTTTGATGCATTTATCATCTCTCATTGTGTCTCCATAGGTTATAACGTGAATGCATGGAAGAGAATTGTCCAGAATTATAGCGAAAACTATGAGAGCTGTGTTTGCGTGATATTCAAATACTTATTTTCGGGCTTGTTTTCCGGGTTGCATGGTCAGGAAGGAAGGGCTAGTTTAGATGTGGTAATGCGAACGAAATTAGGCCGTGTGTAGTTTAATTAATTGCAACTGTTATAATACTTAGCTAAACAAAGTTTAACTCTCGAAGGAAATGACACTAGGGAAATACTGTGTTAATTGTAAATATTTGGGGATGAAAATTCAGGATAAAATAAGTTTGTGGCCTTAAATTTAGATGTTGAATGTTATATTATGTCATACAAGAGTCACGAGGAAGACTAAACGAATTAGGTACAAGACAGTGACATGGTATTATATGGTTCGGAAACATTGCATTCGAAGAAGTTTTTTCTGTAAGTTATGTTAAAATTGTTTGTTTGGATACGGGCGCAACAGTGATTTATATCTTTCAGTTCAAAGGATTTTCATGAGTCTGACAGTTCTCTCTCTACAAGATGTAGGCTCAACTAGAATGAAAACGTAACCGTTTAAAATGTATAATAAAAATACTTGTCATTGTTCTTACCAGCTCATCCTTGAGATAAGATTATTTGGCTACAGGGTTATGCAATGTGGAGTGAAATGTTGGTGAAGCACCGGTCATGGCTTAAATCAGGGAACTATCCCTTTGTATTGACATGCGACTGGAGAAAAACTGCGGGAATAGAGTTATAGGCCTAATAAATGATGTCCAGTCTGAGATGCAGAACTCTAAAGTACGTGGTAGTATCCCCTTTAGACAAATGAAAATCTTCGTTTTGATACCGATAATTCTCATGAGGTTTTTGGTACAGAGTTATAACAGTTATAACAGCGAGGCGTAGCTCGTACTTTCGCTGCACCAGCAACGTAAAGAAATTGGTAAGGTAGCCCTCAAGGAAAGTTACATCGTTGTTTGAGGCACGAAGTTCCATTTTCTGTGACAATCGCGCAAAGACGATACGAAAAGAAATCCTGAAAGCTCCTATTAAATAAGAATTTAGTTACGCGTAATTCAAACTTCATCAAGGAACATCTGTATGGAAAATAACTGAGTTATGGCGGCAGAGAGACGGCGACGCAAATGTAGAACCAGGGGTCTGAGATCGAAAATTTCGTGCTCAGCCTTCGGAATAAATGCATTGTTTTCTAGACATCGCAACCGTGAAGCGAAGTTAAAGGCTACCCTATGGGTCAGCCGGACTCAGCGGGAGGAGCGTATTTACTCTTCAGCCTGAGATTTTGCAAGAATAGTTCCGTGAAGTATGCCACTACCATTTCGTGATAATTGTTACCTTTGAGGACGTCTAGGTGTACTGCTGGGGATTGCAGTGGTAGCGGGACAAGCTCTTCAGCTTCTTGCGTATGAGTTGAAGCATACATCGTCGGAAAGTGATGCCACACACGGAGTAAAGAAGGAAGTTGATGCTGAAGTTAGTGTAGTACAGAAGCATAAAGAATTGCTGCAGACACCACAGGGACGCAGGAGTCTGCTGGCGCCACAGCGAGAAACACACGAAAACGTAGAGGCGTATGACGTAACTGAAACACAGGAAAGTAGATTTTAATACACTACACATCACTAGAAAATTAACACTGCAGAGATTATTAGATAATTTTATCTTCTTCACAACTCTTCCACTCCTCACAGACCATCGCTTTCTGACATCACTAGAATCATCACTACCCCCGCTGTTGTCCACTCCATTATCTTCAATTATAATACGTTCAATAGCGTCTTCGATTATGCCTTCTTGCTCATAATAAATTTTATTCTAGTTTTTACACATGCCGACATACATTATCCCATTCCTCTTGCCCAATTTCTTCGAATCTCTGGCAACACAGATGCTCGACGTCCTTAATTTTGAATGTAGTGTTCTTGCTTGCATCCCATTATTTTACATCTGCCCTAATAAGTTTAACGGGGTTTAAATCGGGATTGTAAGGCGGAAGTCTCAGCACAGTACGTTCTTTTTGTGCTAAAATGTGATTAATTACATAATATTTTTTCTTTGATTTATTTAATTTGATTAAATCGTACAGTTGAGCTTTGAACACGTTGTTACAAAATGGAATGTTTATTTCCAGTAGTCAGTCTTTCATTTCGTTCTTCCTTGATTAAGACGTCGGTGGTTTGTCTGTCTGAGTGTTGTGATACGAGGCGTTATCAACGACCAGAACGATCAGGTGTCATGTTGTTAACACAGCTCAGTCACAAGATAACAATTATCAGGCTTCTGCACTGACACAGACTGTACTGACCGACGGAAACTCCTTACTTTCTTCCTTCATTGATTGGTCCGCATACTGGACACTTCTTACAAGGTCAGCGGCCATAATCGGTGGATCCAGTTCTACTGCATCTGGCGGCTGTAATTAATTTATCCGCTTGGTAATCAACGGCGAGTAACTGTTTTAAAATACGAGTAGAAACTAAACTAAAGTCGTCGGTACATTTTTGCCTTGCTTTATCTTTAGTTTCGAGTTTCCTACCCCGCCTCGATCGGCCCCTTGCTTTCTCTCCACCCGGTTTACGGACTTCCGTGTCAGTTACTCCCTTTTTATCTCGCCTGACAGCGATTCATTGGTTTTCTTCCCACTGGTCATGCTGTAACACTGCCTCTGAATGCTGGCGACTGGACAGTTTGCTTCAGGTCATCAATCAATGTCGCCCGTCTCCTTACTTATTGGATTTATTTCGGGGCTCTTCAGCACAGCAGAGCTACGAAGGGGGTTGTTGTTGTTGTTGTACGTTACAGCGAAACGAATATGAACTGTCGGTTGTGATTATTTATGAGCGGTGCTTCTGCAAATTGTGGCCCACTTCCGTGACCTTGAGTCATTTCTACCCTGTTTAGTGCAAATTGTTTCGTCTGTATTTATGTCTGTTGCAGTTAGATTACTCTGAGGAAACACGCGGCCGACATACAAACTGACACACAGCGACGTTGCCCTCACTTTTTTTTATAAACTGGAACTTGTTACTGTTATCCTTAAATATTTGTGCCCCTTTAAGTTCAGAACGTATTCCAAACTCCTATACGACTTACATAGATATTTATCAAATTTAGGGAATCTTTGATTTATTTTGTTTTGAAGATTTAAAGTTTTTTAAAAGGTTTTACTAGGTCTATTGTGGTGTGTTTTTAACGAAATGCAATGGAAAAGCTATATGTGATAACACAGTGTCTTTAAGATTTACAAATTAAATTAGTAGACACTTCTGTAATATTACGGCGACCTCTTTTATATCCTAGTTTATTCACAATTTCGAATGCCAAAGTTTATCTGAATAACATGACCCCAAATCCGATATCGTGTTCTTTATTTTTAACAATTTTAATTTTTGGATTATCAGTCTCTGTCGCTTTTATTATACTCCTCCCCAAAAAAGTAAGCTTCCGTGGAACACAGTTTTATAATATCATCGAAATCATATTTCGATTCAAAATTTAGTTATTACCTAAAATAAAACATAACGCATCTCCATTACAAGGATCAGTAGGTTAATGTCGTATGAGGAAATAATCGCTTCTTATTCTGATAAACATATTAAACCAGTAGATGCAGATTTATTACATGTTAAGAAGCAGGTGGTACATATAGTTACTACTGGTTTTTAATGGGGAAAATATCAATAGACCAAGACGTACGTATTTGTATGCTTTAACACAGTGGTATTCAACCTGGGG